GTGCATATTCTTATTTATCAAAGAATCAAAATAAACTTGTCTAATAGTACTGTTAATATCCCAATATAAAAAGAAATTTATTTCATCTTTCTTTTTTTTTGTAGCTTTTGCATAATCTTTCTCCTCTTGGCATTTTAAGATATCTTTCCAATTTCTATTAATAAATTGTGATCACTTATTCTTATTTTGTTATCCGTTTTCTTAATTAAATTTTTTAGCAAGTTTAATATTTTTCTTCTGTATTATTTAGCTTTACATGTTTATAAACAGTGAGTTTGCTGTTATCCTTTATATCTGATATTTAATCATTTACTAGCTATTCATAAATATGCTTCAATTTTAATTTTATTTGTTCTCTTTTAGTTTTAGTTATCTTATGTGAGGTATATTTCTTCAATGTGTCCAAATTTACACAAATTTGCTTCATAAGAAAAAAAGATTCTTTATTTAGGAGAACGGCTGACATCGACGATAAACTAAGCCTGTACAAATATCACTAATGACAGATAATTTGTTCATTGGATGTCTCCACGCAGATATGAATGCTTTCTAGAAATTCAATTCGCCAATTGCATACTCTACTACAACACTGTATTGCAAACGGACATGATGAAAAAATATAACATCCACGGTGGGATTCGAACCCACGACCTCTGGATTAGAAGTCCAGCGCGCTATCCCCTGCGCTACGCGGACATAAGAGAAAGAGCAACTATTTGAATACATATATGTAAATATTGTCCTCTGTTGTAGTTAACAAAGTATATGAAGAATCTCATTCGGCCTTAAGAAATTAATTTTAAAGTGTCAATGCAATCGGGTTATAAAATATCACAAAACAAAAAGCAATTTACGGCTATTATTAACATATTGGTCATACATTTAAACAATGAATTGATGTTTAAAAACAGAAAAAAATCAAAATAACAAAAACCACATGATAAAAAATATATAACATCCACGGTTGGATTCGAACCCACGGCCTCTGGAATTGATTATGTTGACTGCTGTACCGAAATTTTTAACATTTTAAACTATTATGTTTGTTTGTTTTGCTCACATATTGTTGTCAATATAATGCAACTCTATGCGACTGTCATACAACTAGACATTTTCGAAAACTATTCAATACCGACGCTTACACGCATGCCTATGCCTATAGGTTACCCTTTTTGAGAAGTGAGAAGTGAGAATGTGTACAACGACTAGAGGCATTTCTATTATTTTTGTTCTAATTTTCATTTTAAACACCTTTTAAAACACTTATTTCGAACGATTTGTTACTTTATTGGCTCTGTTAAGTATCTGAGAAATGACCAATCTGTATATTGTGTACTTTATGAAAAAGGTAGGTGAGGGGGGGGGGGGGGGGGGGGGGGGGCTTTGTGGTAATTAGTAGAACTTTAATCAGAAACAGAAACGTGTAATGCATTACATAGAGTGAAACATAATGTATAAATATATAGATGATATTATTAGTTATCTTGGTGTCATCAGGGGTGTACGGAAGTTTACAACGGTGATAAAAAGGATCCAAGCTTATTTACCTGAATGTGTGATCTTGGGTTGATTATATATGTAATCGTATCTGTATCATTTAAATATGTGCAGTGCATATTCTTATTTATCAAAGAATCAAAATAAACTTGTCTAATAGTACTGTTAATATCCCAATATAAAAAGAAATTTATTTCATCTATCTTTTTTTTTGTAGCTTTTGCATAATCTTTCTCCTCTTGGCATTTTAAGATATCTTTCTAATTTCTATTAATAAATTGTGATCACTTATTCTTATTTTGTTATCCGTTTTCTTAATTAAATTTTTTAGCAAGTTTAATATTTTTCTTCTGTATTATTTAGCTTTACATGTTTATAAACAGTGAGTTTGCTGTTATCCTTTATATCTGATATTTAATCATTTACTAGCTATTCATAAATATGCTTCAATTTTAATTTTATTTGTTCTCTTTTAGTTTTAGTTATCTTATGTGAGGTATATTTCTTCAATGTGTCCAAATTTACACAAATTTGCTTCATAAGAAAAAAAGATTCTTTATTTAGGAGAACGGCTGACATCGACAAAACTAAGCCTGTACAAATATCACTAATGACAGATAATTTGTTCATTGGATGTCTCCACGCAGATATGAATGCTTTCTAGAAATTCAATTCGCCAATTGCATACTCTACTACAACACTGTATTGCAAACGGACATGATGAAAAAATATAACATCCACGGTGGGATTCGAACCCACGACCTCTGGATTAGAAGTCCAGCGCGCTATCCCCTGCGCTACGCGGACATGAGAGAAAGAGCAACTATTTGAATACATATATGTAAATATTGTCCTCTGTTGTAGTTAACAAAGTATATGAAGAATCTCATTCGGCCTTAAGAAATTAATTTTAAAGTGTCAATGCAATCGGGTTATAAAATATCACAAAACAAAAAGCAATTTACGGCTATTATTAACATATTGGTCATACATTTAAACAATGAATTGATGTTTAAAAACAGAAAAAAATCAAAATAACAAAAACCACATGATAAAAAATATATAACATCCACGGTTGGATTCGAACCCACGGCCTCTGGATTAGATTATGTTGACTGCTGTACCCAAATTTTTAACATTTTAAACTATTATGTTTGTTTGTTTTGCTCACATATTGTTGTCAATATAATGCAACTCTATGCGACTGTCATACAACTAGACATTTTCGAAAACTATTCAATACCGACGCTTACACGCATGCCTATGCCTATAGGTTACCCTTTTTGAGAAGTGAGAAGTGAGAATGTGTACAACGACCAGAGGCATTTCTATTATTTTTGTTCTAATTTTCATTTTAAACACCTTTTAAAACACTTATTTCGAACGATTTGTTACTTTATTGGCTCTGTTAAGTATCTGAGAAATGACCAATCTGTATATTGTGTACTTTATGAAAAAGGTAGGTGAGGGGGGGGGCTTTGTGGTAATTAGTAGAACTTTAATCAGAAACAGAAACGTGTAATGCATTACATAGAGTGAAACATAATGTATAAATATATAGATGATATTATTAGTTATCTTGGTGTCATCAGGGGTGTACGGAAGTTTACAACGGTGATAAAAAGGATCCAAGCTTATTTACCTGAATGTGTGATCTTGGGTTGATTATATATGTAATCGTATCTGTATCATTTAAATATGTGCAGTGCATATTCTTATTTATCAAAGAATCAAAATAAACTTGTCTAATAGTACTGTTAATATCCCAATATAAAAAGAAATTTATTTCATCTATCTTTTTTTTTGTAGCTTTTGCATAATCTTTCTCCTCTTGGCATTTTAAGATATCTTTCCAATTTCTATTAATAAATTGTGATCACTTATTCTTATTTTGTTATCCGTTTTCTTAATTAAATTTTTTAGCAAGTTTAATATTTTTCTTCTGTATTATTTAGCTTTACATGTTTATAAACAGTGAGTTTGCTGTTATCCTTTATATCTGATATTTAATCATTTACTAGCTATTCATAAATATGCTTCAATTTTAATTTTATTTGTTCTCTTTTAGTTTTAGTTATCTTATGTGAGGTATATTTCTTCAATGTGTCCAAATTTACACAAATTTGCTTCATAAGAAAAAAAGATTCTTTATTTAGGAGAACGGCTGACATCGACAAAACTAAGCCTGTACAAATATCACTAATGACAGATAATTTGTTCATTGGATGTCTCCACGCAGATATGAATGCTTTCTAGAAATTCAATTCGCCAATTGCATACTCTACTACAACACTGTATTGCAAACGGACATGATGAAAAAATATAACATCCACGGTGGGATTCGAACCCACGACCTCTGGATTAGAAGTCCAGCGCGCTATCCCATGCGCTACGCAGTCATGAGAGAAAGAGCAACTATTTGAATACATATATGTAAATATTGTCCTCTGTTGTAGTTAGCAAAGTATATGAAGAGTCTCATTCGGCCTTAAGAAATTAATTTTAAAGTGTCAATGCAATCGGGTTATAAAATATCACAACACAAAAGGCAATTTACGGCTATTATTAACATAATGGTCATACATTTAAACAATGAATTGATGTTTAAAAACAGAAAAAAATCAAAATAACAAAAACCACATGATAAAAAATATATAACATCCACGGTTGGATTCGAACCAACGGCCTCTGGATTAGATTATGCTGACTGTTGTACCCAAATTTTTAACATTTTAAACTATTATGTTTGTTTGTTTTGCTCACATATTGTTGTCAATATAATGGAATTCTATGCGACTGTCATACAACTAGACATTTTCGAAAACTATTCAATACCGACGCTTACACGTATGCCTACCCAGACAACATTGGTACGTTGGCACAACATTGGCCCAATGTATCTACATGCATTGGCCCGACGTTGTTTTTAAACGTTGGCCCAATGTATAAGTGCAAAGTGGCCCTATGTTGGCCCAACGTGATGGCTAAACGTTGGCACAACGTTGTAAGGTTTTATACAATACATTGGCCCAACGTTGGTCCAATGATGGAATAATACTTGCCGATGTTGAACAAACGTTGGGCCAACGTAGTAAAACAAACTGTTAACAAACGTTGGCACTCCGTTGGTTCAATCTGTAAACTTTTCTATCCATATGAAGGATACTAAAATCCCTTCCAGACAACAACTGCAATAATTCCTGGTTCTTACATCAGTTCAAAATTGCGAAAGTAATACTTTTTTTAAATGTTGCAATTATTGCGTTTTACAGATCCACTATACCATGTTGTGTCTTACATACTACCCGAAAATTTTGTATTTTGCAACTTTCTCTCAATCTTCCTGAACATGCATGAAATATTTGTCAATGGACGTTTCAGTAACCAACAACCAATCAATCTCTCTCCAGGAATTGTACTTCTGAATATTATACCCATATTTGTATGAACTCAATCAACGTATCCATGTTACCTATTTTTCTTAAATAATATAAATACAAAGGTATGATTAAATATAATTTATTATTAGCTAGACAACCAGCAAATTTAAAAAAAGTCTTTTTTGTATCTATACGTTGCTAAATCAGATCTATAGAATGAAAATTTTAAAGTCTATTCATGATAATTCATTTATCCCATTTGTATAATATCATTACAGTTTATGTTGCAATATCCAAGCTCTGTATGACGACCTTGATAATTCATTTTATACAGCTATTTTTCTAGTTCTGTATTCCAACATGGTTTTTATTCACAAGAGTGTTCTTTTTGTTTTCTGCTACACTTTGTTTTGTCACTATTTCTGGCTCCGTCCAATGTTACATCCTTTTAATATCCAGTTTAGCATATCTTCATAAAAGTTATTTCACTACACGTACCTCTGTAATAGAGTAATGAATAAATGAGTACTCAATGTATGTATATTTAGAATATATTAAATCCTCCTAAAAAATAAACAAAGAGACAAAAAATGCATTGTTTCCGGTGTCCTGGCACATTACAATAGTTAGAAAAAATACTCTTTTTTTATATTTTCCCTAGCCTATACAATCCAAGGCAAAAGGCATATTGAATGCTTTACCATAATGGCTAGACTTAACCTCACTAGCTAGGTTAAGCAGGACAATTGAGTGTAGAAATAGATACAGGAAACTTTGTCAAAAAACGTTCTAAGTAAATAAATAAAACTAGTTGAAAAAAAACACAAAGTCAAATCTAAATACACTAGCATTAACGGTAGTATTAAACATGTTATGCATATATATCTGTGAAATTCGAATCCGATGTAGCATAAATGATGGCTATTATGTTAACTTACTTTCTTAAACTTAATCATTCTGGGCTATCAAATGGTAGAATGCATTTTTTCCCATCTCCATTCACATGCATTTTCTAGCCAGGATGTTGTCAATAATTTCTATTATTCCTAGCTCTGTATTATTCCTTTTGCCCTCTGAATTATTTTGTCTTCTGTAGTACTCAAATACCTTACCTATAAATTTATATTTAAATGTAAAATTGTATATTAAAAAGAAAAGCTACTTCAAGTAATTCGATCAGACAATAATCTTTATAGTCTTTTTCTTTTATAAATATCCTTATGTGTGGTATAGTCCTTTTTTACATCCCCCCTATTTTTTTTATTTATTTCAAGCGTCAGCTTTTTGTGACTGATATTTACTCCTACAAACTACATGTATTCAAATATCGGTTTTCTTTTGCAAAAATTTTGCCGAGGACAAAAAACTAAATTCAGTCGAGTCCGTATAATTATATATAAATTACAACATTCTTGCAATGAATTTAATAAATAAATACTCTATTTGATATCTAAAACACTGTTACACATGCAAGTGTGTATATGATCAGGTTTCACAAATATATCGTATATGTTTGCATGCGATTTAGAAATAATAAAACTAACAAATTCATTTATATTTCTATGAAGTAGAAATCAATATACCACATTTCTGAAACATTACGGAACAAGGTACATCTTAAGACAGATTGTTTCCATTAACTTCAGTAATGGTGATAAATGCAATCGTTATAGATTTCACAAATAAAACATTAAAATATTAGCAATTTACAATTTGTTTGATGATACTTATGTTCAGTGGCAAATATTTCATGATTATTTAGGATTGAAATGGTTTAAACAAAATCTAGAAAATATTTCGCCAGAAACGTATAAACTTCAAGATCAACATTATAAAATGATAGCAATTATATGTTTTAATTTTGAACAACATCCCTCAGATTAAAAAAAAACATATATGTTTGTCATTCACAATCGTATATATAACAGAATTTTTAAAGTTTTAACTTACATGTCACTTTCTTTTTCTTTGAACCTCAGATAATAAGATTTTCTCTTTTTGTTTTCTTCGTTTCACTGCTTTCTTACAAATACACAACAGGAAATAACCACAAAAGTGACCATCCCATTACATTCAGATTTCCTATAAACTTAATTACCATAGCAACTATTTCTATGAAATTTGTCTAACATATGGTCAACCTTATCAGAATGTGCTTGATTAACAGACTGGCTGTATCAAATATCACTCTGTATATAATTGGTCAATTATTATGTTTCACAAAGTTTAATGAATGAAGTTATAATAAATAATGATTGCAATAAATTAAAACTTTTAACCAGGCAATCTATGTTAACGATATATTTATTTTTATTACAGTAATGATATTCCAGTATAAATTTTACCTGACTTATATATAGAGTATAATATAGGGTCAACGTTGGCCCAGCATTGGCCCAACATAGAGTTGTAAATGTAATTTCAGTTGATGAACCCTTTCGGTATAACATTAACTTTTCATCAAGCATGCAGCAATCGAAATCATCCGCCTTCCCAAGAGAAATAAAGCGTAAACTATTTCATAATCAATTTTTATTAACAAAATTTCATATCGGCCCTGTGTTGCTACTAACGTAATGCCAACATTGGCCCGATTATTTATAACCAACATCAGATAATAATATGGATTTACAACAGCAGGCCAACGTTGGGCCAATGTTGTGCAGCCAACACCAACGTGCGACCAACGGACCGACAATTTGCCAACGTTGGGCCAATGTTGTGCAGCCAACACCAACGGTCGACCAACGGACCGACAATTTGCCAACGTTGGCCCACTGTTAGTCTGTTGACTGGGTATGCCTATAGGTTACCCTTTTTGAGAAGTGAGAAGTGAGAATGTGTACAACGACTAGAGGCATTTCTATTATTTTTGTTCTAATTTTCATTTTAAACACCTTTTAAAACATTTATTTCGAACGATTTGTTACTTTATTGGCTCTGTTAAGTATCTGAGAATTGACCAATCTGTATATTGTGTACTTTATGAAAAAGGTAGGTGAGGGGGGCTTTGTGGTAATTAGTAGAACTTTAATCAGAAACAGAAACGTGTAATGCATTACATAGAGTGAAACATAATGTATAAATATATAGATGATATTATTAGTTATCTTGGTGTCATCAGGGGTGTACGGAAGTTTACAACGGTGATAAAAAGGATCCAAGCTTATTTACCTGAATGTGTGATCTTGGGTTGATTATATATGTAATCGTATCTGTATCATTTAAATATGTGCAGTGCATATTCTTATTTATCAAAAAATCAAAAGAAACTTGTCTAATAGTACTGTTAATATCCCAATATAAAAAGAAATGAATTTCATCTTCCTTTTTTTTGTAGCTTTTGCATAATCTTTCTTCTCTTGGCATTTTAAGATATCTTTCCAATTTCTATTAATAAATTGTGATCACTTATTCTTATTTTGTTATCCGTTTTCTAAATTAAAATTTTTAGCAAGTTTAATATTTTTCTTCTGTATTATTTAGCTTTACATGTTTATAAATAGTGAGTTTGCTGTTATCCTTTATATCTGATATTTAATCATTTACTAGCTTTTCATAAATATGCTTCAATTTTAATTTTATTTGTTCTCTTTTAGTTTTAGTTATCTTATGTGAGGTATATTTCTTCAATGTGTCCAAATTTACACAAATTTGCTTCATAAGAAAAAAAGATTCTTTATTTAGGAGAACGGCTGACATCGACGATAAACTAAGCCTGTACAAATATCACTAATGACAGATAATCTGTTCATTGGATGCCTCCACGCAGATTTGAATGCTTTCTAGAAATTCAATTCGCCAATTGCATACTCTACTACAACACTGTATTGCAAACGGACATGATGAAAAAATTTAACATCCACGGTGGGATTCGAACCCACGACCTCTGGATTAGAAGTCCAGCGCGCTATCCCCTGCGCTACGCGGACATGAGAGAAAGAGCAACTATTTGAATACAAGATAAGATAAGATAAGATATTTTATCTTCAATTATGGGCCCCAAAGGGCATAAACATTACAACATCAATAATTTTTTATAATACAATACAAACAATGAGATAAAAAAAAAAAAAGTTAAACGAGAACTATTAAAGTTCTTAAAGAATACGTAGATAAAGAATCTATAGTATGTGTTGTTTTTTTTTTAATACTAATGCATTTTATTGCAAGTGTGGTTGATATAGATAACAAACAAGCAGCCCAAAAAGAAAAAAAGAAAAATAGATATCCACATATGTATAGTACACAAAAAGTTGGATCAATTAAATATATAATAATTAGCCAAAAAGAAAGTAGAAATTAAGCATGTCCATGACTCATCCTGTGTCAGCAGCAAATAGGAAAGCATGATGGTTTCCTAAAGGCAGCTGACACCAGGGGGCGATACCTTATGGGCCATAGGCATGTAAAATGTGTGTAAATGTCTCTTTCCTACCTGTATCAAAAGCAAACAAGGAAGCATCATAGGTAACTTGAATGCAGTTGATACCAGGGGACGATGCCTCAAGGATATAAGAGAACATTTGAATAAATAATATATCTTAACAATTATTTTTTTTTTTTAATCGGCTAGTATGTTTGTGATATTCAGATGAATATAATTTTCTATGTCCAATCAAATGTATATACACACATAGATTTCCTTTAACTAATCTTCACTAAGGAAGATGTTTGTATATAAAATTACATATTATTTTAAGTAACTCAACATTTTCTACACTAAATAACCAGATAATTTTGCTTTGACTGCTCATATGATTAATATAAGAATTATATTTTGCAATACTAGCTAACATACAATTTCTATCATCCTCAAATTTGTTACAATCAAATAGAAAATGAGCCTCATCTTCGACAGTATTGGAAGAACATTTATTACATATTCTGTTAATTCGGGGAATACCCTGATATCTACCTAATTCTATTTGTAATCTATGAGAAGATACACATATATGTAAATATTGTCCTCTGTTGTAGTTAACAAAGTATATGAAGAGTCTCATTCGGCCTTAAGAAATTAATTTTAAAGTGTCAATGCAATCGGGTTATAAAATATCACAACACAAAAGGCAATTTACGGCTATTATTAACATAATGGTCATACATTTAAACAATGAATTGATGTTTAAAAACAGAAAAAAATCAAAATAACAAAAACCACATGATAAAAAATATATAACATCCACGGTTGGATTCGAACCCACGGCCTCTGGATTAGATTATGTTGACTGCTGTACCCAAATTTTTAACATTTTAAACTATTATGTTTGTTTGTTTTGCTCACATATTGTTGTCAATATAATGGAATTCTATGCGACTGTCATACAACTAGACATTTTCGAAAACTATTCAATACCGACGCTTACACGTATGCCTATGCCTATAGGTTACCCTTTTTGAGAAGTGAGAAGTGAGAATGTGTACAACGACTAGAGGCATTTCTATTATTTTTGTTCTAATTTTCATTTTAAACACCTTTTAAAACATTTATTTCGAACGATTTGTTACTTTATTGGCTCTGTTAAGTATCTGAGAATTGACCAATCTGTATATTGTGTACTTTATGAAAAAGGTAGGTGAGGGGGGCTTTGTGGTAATTAGTAGAACTTTAATCAGAAACAGAAACGTGTAATGCATTACATAGAGTGAAACATAATGTATAAATATATAGATGATATTATTAGTTATCTTGGTGTCATCAGGGGTGTACGGAAGTTTACAACGGTGATAAAAAGGATCCAAGCTTATTTACCTGAATGTGTGATCTTGGGTTGATTATATATGTAATCGTATCTGTATCATTTAAATATGTGCAGTGCATATTCTTATTTATCAAAAAATCAAAAGAAACTTGTCTAATAGTACTGTTAATATCCCAATATAAAAAGAAATGAATTTCATCTTCCTTTTTTTGTAGCTTTTGCATAATCTTTCTTCTCTTGGCATTTTAAGATATCTTTCCAATTTCTATTAATAAATTGTGATCACTTATTCTTATTTTGTTATCCGTTTTCTAAATTAAAATTTTTAGCAAGTTTAATATTTTTCTTCTGTATTATTTAGCTTTACATGTTTATAAATAGTGAGTTTGCTGTTATCCTTTATATCTGATATTTAATCATTTACTAGCTTTTCATAAATATGCTTCAATTTTAATTTTATTTGTTCTCTTTTAGTTTTAGTTATCTTATGTGAGGTATATTTCTTCAATGTGTCCAAATTTACACAAATTTGCTTCATAAGAAAAAAAGATTCTTTATTTAGGAGAACGGCTGACATCGACGATAAACTAAGCCTGTACAAATATCACTAATGACAGATAATCTGTTCATTGGATGCCTCCACGCAGATTTGAATGCTTTCTAGAAATTCAATTCGCCAATTGCATACTCTACTACAACACTGTATTGCAAACGGACATGATGAAAAAATTTAACATCCACGGTGGGATTCGAACCCACGACCTCTGGATTAGAAGTCCAGCGCGCTATCCCCTGCGCTACGCGGACATGAGAGAAAGAGCAACTATTTGAATACAAGATAAGATAAGATAAGATATTTTATCTTCAATTATGGGCCCCAAAGGGCATAAACATTACAACATCAATAATTTTTTATAATACAATACAAACAATGAGATAAAAAAAAAAAAAGTTAAACGAGAACTATTAAAGTTCTTAAAGAATACGTAGATAAAGAATCTATAGTATGTGTTGTTTTTTTTTTAATACTAATGCATTTTATTGCAAGTGTGGTTGATATAGATAACAAACAAGCAGCCCAAAAAGAAAAAAAGAAAAATAGATATCCACATATGTATAGTACACAAAAAGTTGGATCAATTAAATATATAATAATTAGCCAAAAAGAAAGTAGAAATTAAGCATGTCCATGACTCATCCTGTGTCAGCAGCAAATAGGAAAGCATGATGGTTTCCTAAAGGCAGCTGACACCAGGGGGCGATACCTTATGGGCCATAGGCATGTAAAATGTGTGTAAATGTCTCTTTCCTACCTGTATCAAAAGCAAACAAGGAAGCATCATAGGTAACTTGAATGCAGTTGATACCAGGGGACGATGCCTCAAGGATATAAGAGAACATTTGAATAAATAATATATCTTAACAATTATTTTTTTTTTTTAATCGGCTAGTATGTTTGTGATATTCAGATGAATATAATTTT